AATGTATTTTTGGCTATTGCTACAAATATACCCCAGCGACTTAAGACTGGTTTTGTGGTCCAGGGTCACATATATCGGTCATATGTGAGCTATTTGTAGGCTGTTGTAGACTAACCAATTGCAGAGTCAAGTCAAGTCACCTTTATTTATATCAAGTCAAAACAGTCTCTTACAGTCCTCTGAGTTGAGCGTAGTAGTCGGATGTAGTCCAGTTTATTGTCCAAAGAGCGTACGTTAGCCAGTACGATGGTGGGGATAGCTGGCTTGTGTGGGTTAGCCGCTAGCCTAGCCCGGATACCTCCGCGCTTACCCCTCTTCTGCTTCCTCTCCCGCCGCTTGTGGCGCCTCCGCTGTGGGCGAGATGCAGTAGTGGGGGTCGGTGATGGTGTGGGCCTCCGGAGCAGACCGAGCTCTTCGGCGTGCGCAGAGTTTAACTCTAAAAATGTGGTTCTGCCGACATCGAGCAGAAACTCACGACTGTATGCGCGCTTAGAGACAGATAGACGCGACGAATACGTACAAAAACACTGCGACTCACAAGACAAAAAACACGAAAACACCTTTCTACCTTTCACGAAAACACCTTTCTATATAGCGCTTTTAACAATACAGATTGTGTCAAAGCAGCCTTACAGTATAGACAGGGGAAGTGTTTCCTATGCTTTTTTGAATCAATCATTATTTTTGCATTGCTATTTTGGTGACGCTTACACTCTGACAATGATATCACAACTAAAGTATTTATTACATTGTAATAACATTGTTATTACATAGCAGACTGACTGTAAATGCTTTTGTTTTTGCTATAGCCAAAAGACAGGATGATTAAAAAAAAGAGGTCTTGACAGTTTTGCATGATCATGAGCGTATGTTTGTTGCTTCCCCTTCATATCTCATGTATTTACTACTGGTGGGATTTACTAGCAATACAATACCTTCACAGCCAGTTTTTCCGCTCCCTCTTTTCCAGCTGCCCATTCCTGGCATCAAACCTGACTCCTGCCATTCCGGCCATCGGAGGAGTGCTGTTCGTCTTTGTGATGGGAATGCTGCTCCGGGCGAGCTTCAGCGACCCGGGCGTCCTGCCCAGGGCCACACCAGAGGAAGCAGCCGACATTGAGAGGCAGATAGGTGGGAGGAACTGCCAAGATGATCGCTCTTCCTGTCTGTCTTTCCTCGTTCTGTTCTTTTCACATTGGGCTGAATATGCAGCCTCCAGTTGCAGGTCTGTGGAGTGCGCGACAGAGAATTCTCCGAGTAAAAGGAGACAGAGAACATTTGATGTTATTCTCTCCTCTGGTTTGACATGAATAATGCATGCTCTCTCAGGTTTGCTGTCAGCCCAGAGTAATATCAAATCTGCTGAATTATTCATCCCTAGCAAAGATTCACGGTCTCTCAGAGTATTTGTTGATGTTATTCTGTCTGATAGTTTAATCAGTCACGAGTTAATGGTTGTTCATAGGTTGGTTTGGATATTATTAAAGGGCCAGCAAGGAACACACCTGAAGATTTAATGGCAATTTCTTACTACATTCAGAATTTAACAGTGAAATCACTGCAGGCCAAGCCATTTTATGCCATAACACTACAAATTAGTGGACATTTTCCACAGTGTGCATGTTGATTGAATTCGCTCGCGTATGAATTTGCTGTTTATAATTGAATGGATTCACTGCTATAATGAGTTTGCTGGTCTCTCATTTAGGGGCCGTTTACACGACAACGTTTTCAGCCAAAAATGGGAAACTTTTTATGCGTTTTGCCAGTTTGTTTACATGACAACGGCATTTTGGGGACTGAAAACGCATATTTTTGAAAACGGGTTTCAAAGTGCAAGTTTTTGAAAACGGCACCATTGTCGTTTCCTGTAAACACTCAATATGGGAATCTTTGAAAACGGTGACGTCATGCGCGTGCGCAGTACGTGTTAGGTATGCAGACATGCGCAGTACATGTCGATTTTAAAGGCAAGCGCGAACAAACATACACAACAATGGCGGAGTATATGGTACTGTTGTTGCTGCTCAAGAGTTTGCTAACGCTTCTTCAGCAAAGTGTGGATTTACTTCACCAATATTACAACCAACAGCGGAGACGCATCATATACAACATAAAATCGTCACTTCCCTACAGGTACTGTTTACTAGCAAGGTGACAGCGCCAACTACTGGCCTGGCATACGTAGTACAGCGTTTTTGCCCGTTTTCACGGATATGTGTAAATGCAAAATCGTTTTGAAAACGTTGATGTGTATACGTGAAACTTTTTAAAAACGCAAGGGAAAAACTTTTCAATTTTTGACTACACCGTTGTCGTGTAAACTTAGACTGAGACTGAATTTAGTGGACTCCACAGGTGAGAAATTACTGGTCCTGAGCCAAGTGCACTTTAGCTCAGGTTTGTCGGCTCGGGATTTGGAGTTATGTGTCCCTGCTGTTCGTATGAATAATGTAGTAGCAAGTAAACACTACTGTGAGGCCCAGCGGCGCTGTGTGCTGCTTAGAAGATGCATAGCGTGTTGAGGGTCACATAAGATGTGAACCCATTAAAACAATAGTTCACTCAAAATGAAAATTCTGTCATAATTTAGCCTTACTTTCACCCTTAAAGCCCATGTGAATTCGTTCTGTGGAACACAAAAGGGAAGTTTTGAAGAATGTCTGTAAAGCTCCAGTATGGTAATCAAAGAACCATCAAATTTGTCCTTATATGACTTGTGCACAGTTATCCAAGTCTTCTGAAGTCAAATGATGGCTTTGTATGAAGCACAGACTGAAATTTAAGTTATTCATATTGATCATCTTCCTCCTGACCGTAAAAATTGACACCACTGAGGCCAAATTCCATTGGTTCTTGTGTATCTTGTGACCAAACATCATTGCCATCAATAGTGCATTTACTACTGTTTAAAAGATTTTGTTTTATATTTTGAAAGAAGTCTCTCATGCTCACCAAGGCTGCATTTATTTGATTAGAAGTAAAGTTAAAACAGTAATATTGTCAAATATTCTTACAATGATAAATAACTGTTTTAATATATTTTAAAATGATATTTATTCCTGTAGTGGCAAAGCTGAATTTTCAGCAGTCGTTACTCTAGTCTTCGGTGTTCAGTAATGATTCTAATATGCTGATTTGGTGGTCACATTTCTTCTTATTATCAATGGTGAAAGCAGTTGTGCTGCATAATATTTTTGTGAAAACTGAAAAAAATTTTCAGGATCTATTTGAAATATATATTTTTTTGTAACAATGCAAAAGACCTTTCTGTCACTTTTGATCAAGTTAATCAATACTTGCTGAATAAAGCTGCAGTTCAGAGAAAGATTTTTATTTTTTTGCGAAATAACGCAAAAAGCTTTTTTAACCCAAAGCTATCATTTGTCTTTATAAAACTTACTTTTGATAGTTAATAGTTTTGTAATACATTAATAGTGAACATTTTTTTTTATTTTTGTGTCTAATAATTTATTTTTTTATAATATGGTTTTGAATAAAGGTCAAGTCAGGATTTTTGGTCACACTTTATTTTAAGGTCCAGTTATCGCCATTAACAAACCATTAACTACAACTTTTGCCTAAAATTTTGCCTAATTTGCGGCTTATTAACAGTTAGTAAGGTAGTTGTTAAGTTTAGGTATTGGGTAGGAGTAGGGATGTAGAATATTCTCATGCAGAATATGTGCTTTATAAGTACTAATAAACAACCAAAATGTTAATAATAGGCATGCAAATTTTTCAGGTTCAGTATCTGTGACATGCTGCCAATTGATGCTTCATTTAGTAAAAACAATAATGTACAGTAATGCATGTATAATGGATGTCTATAGGCCAAGACGAAATCACCAATTGATAAATGTTGCTGTTTTGAAAGTACAGCCACAAAACATTATATACACAAGTTATATGCACACTCATATGCTGTATAAAGTAATAGGATTTAGACAACTCATCTAGCATTTAAACCCTCTGAAATGCCTTCTTCCATTGCAAGTGCTCTTCTGTAAATACCAATTTTGTTTTTACAAACTGAAGGACACATCTAAATTATTTTCTGTTTTCTATTTCGCAGATCTTTAAACTGCCATAGCATAGAAGAGATTTCCTCTTCCATCTGTTTTTACATTTTCTGCAAGATTGGATGTCTGAATCGGTCTATTCTGATTTCACAGATGCAACCAACGGCCCGAGCGGCCCAGGCTACAGGCCACCACCCCGAACCAGAGAGGTGCTCATTAACGGTCAAACAGTCAAACTAAAATACTGTTTCACCTGCAAGATCTTCCGACCGCCGCGGGCCTCACACTGCAGCCTGTGTGACAACTGCGTGGGTAAGAGTCTGTGTATACTCTGTGTGTCTGCAAATACGTTTATATAATACTCAAGAAGAGCTAACATATGATTTTCCTGGCTGTGCATTTCTCCTCAGAGAGATTTGATCATCACTGCCCGTGGGTGGGCAACTGCGTGGGGAGGAGGAACTATCGCTTCTTCTACCTGTTCATCCTCTCACTCTCCTTCCTCACCATCTTCATCTTCGCCTTCGTCATCACGCACGTAATACTGAGTAAGAGTGCCGATCGTCTACTTTCTTATATAACTTTACCCTTCAGTCCCAAAACACATGACAGATCTTATCGCACCTTGTCTTATTTAACAGTGTTCAGCAAAACAACTCGGTGTTTTTGCTTTTTCCAAACCAGGATTTGACAGCTTGGGGTTTTTAGGATTGTAATAGAAATGGCTTTTGATTACAATAGATAATATGTGGATTATCACTTGGTCTTGCATATTTGTGTAGTTTATTGCTGATGCAACCAGTTGGTCAAGTCAAGTCAAATTTATTCGCATAGCGCTTTTCATACACATTGTTTCAAAGCAACTTTAAAGAAAATCATGATTTTAGTGTTCATACTATCTCAATATCTTCATGCATTATAGTCGCATTTAGCAGATTATTTAGCTGGTAAAAATATGCATTTGCATTTTGTGACAATTAATCAAGCTGTTGAGATTTGCTGTATGGGACATGTTGGGCATACTGTCTGTTTACGTATAATTATATAATAAAAAATTAGCCAGTTGTAGTATACATTGCTTTACGTTAGTACACAAGTAAAGTTGGATATAATATGTATGCAATTTTATACATGTTTATGTCATTGCAATTTACATTATGTAGTGATATAAACAATCACGCAGCTGAGATTTTATATATAGTATACATTGCTTTTATGTGAGTATACTGCATTTATGCAGGAAAAATAGGATGCACTATGTATCCAACTTTTAATATATTGCTGGGCAGTAATATAGATACATTTTTCAATGATATAGAACATATAGCTTTTACTGTACTGAAAGTGAACTGGATGTATCTGGGTAAAGTTGGATATACTTAAAGCAGTTATATAATTTGTTATAAATTTATTAAGTAGCCTAAATTATTAATTCGCTATGTTGTGATATTGAAAATTATGAAACCTGTGAGATTGTGATTTGATGTAGTGACAATTATAGTACAGGGTTAACAATTTTTGATCATATTGCAGAACCTTCTGCTTGTTTTATATGGCTGGCAACAGTTTTTGTCTTCTCAGTGCAACTAGGCAAAATGAAGCTCATTTACATAATCAAATATAATGATTATTTCTAGAAAGAACTTTTAAAGGGCAGAGTCCCATGTAACAGTCATATTCAGTGTTGGGAGTAATGCATTACGAGTAACGTGAGTAAAGTAATCTAGAGCCCGACCGATACGGGTTTTTTTTGGGACCGATACCGATATTAGGGAGTAAAAAAAAAGATACCAATATATCGGCGACAGGCTCATATCGGCCGATAATATCGGCAAAACGATATATCGGTCGGGCTCTAAATCAGATTACTTTTTCAAGTGACTAGTAAGTAACACACTGCTTTTAAATATACAAAAAATATCTGAGTTACTTTTTCAAATAAGTAATGCCAGCCACTTTGTTTTCCCTTTTACTGACTGAAAGCTCTCCTGTCTCCATGTTGAGAGAAATCGGGAGTAATGGTGCGTTCAAGTCATGTCGGATAGATCGTATTTACGAGTTGAACGCACATGAACGCCACCACAAA